AGAATCTATCCTTTGTTCTCTTCCTTCCCATTAATGGAATTGGGAGGCCATTTTCCTGCTTAAGGTTGATCTCTCCACTAAACTCTGCAGTCCAATAATTCCTTTCACCTCCTCAGGGCTAATCCTTCTATTGAGATTTACATTCCTTTCCTAAATCTCTCTCTGGTAGTCATTAGCCTACTGATCAATATTCTGGTTTGCCTCTTTCCAGGTATATGGGAGAAGTACATTTTCCCACCCATGACATAAGCATGACCATGTGACTTACTGGCCAGAGAAATGTAAACAGGAGTCTCTTAAGAATCAGGGCAATTTACTGTATTCCCTCCAGCTGCCACCAAAACCAGCTACTTTTCAGATGGGTGGAGCTCTGTGAGCCATTCTCATAAGGAGAACGCTCAACCTAACTCCCAATGGTCCAGTAATTTGAGTAGAAAAGCAACCTTTGTTGTTATAGCTCCCTATGATTTGGAGGCTGTTTACTACTGCAGCATAATTTAATCTACCTGATAAACGTTTCCTCTCCACTGACTCCCTACCATCAGTACATGAACAGGAATAGAGTCAAATTTCTTTACCTTAAAAAGAAAAAACGTTTATTTATTTTGTGAGACAGAGAAAGAGTGTGTGCACATCAGGGGTGGGGGCAGACAAGAGAGGGAGGGAGAGAATCCCAAGCAGGCTCCACACTGTCTGTTTGGAGCCGGACTGGGTCTCAGGAGCCACGAGATCATGATCTGAGAGGAAATCAGAGTTGGTCACTTAACAGACTGAGCCACCTAGGCCTCCCAAACAAATCTCTTTACTTCTACAACACAAAATCCTCTTTTGAATCCACCCAACCCTATCAGATACTGCCCTATTTTTCTTTCTCCTCTTCACAGTAAAACTGATTGAAAAGTTCTCCATTTCTTCACCTCTCCTTCACTAGTCAGCCCCCTGCAATCTGGCTTTTACCTCCACCAGTCCACAGAAAGGGCTCTCATTAAAGTTGCCAAGGACCTTGTTGCTAAATCCAATAGACACTCTGAGTTCTGACCTTACTTGACATCTCTGTAGCATTTGCCACTATTTGATTACTTTCCTTTTTTCATACACCCTTTGCTGCCTTCAATACTGCTCCTGGATTCCAAACACCCACCTTATTTTCCTCTTCTCTGGCTGTTCCTTCCTAGGTAAGAATCTATGAAACTTCTCTTACTCCAACCCTTAAATTTTCTTACTCTACGCTGAACCCTAGTGATCTCCAAACTAGCAACACTGACACCATTTGGGATTCTGTCAGGAAAATAGAATCTCTCACTCCACCCTCGTCCCACATTTTAAAAAGGTGCCAAGACTTTCAAGTCTGAAAAACAATGATCTATAGAATTTAGGCCTGCACCCACTTGTCTTCTCCATTCACTATCCATAGGACCTACTATCCATAGGACCACGAACTGCCAATCTAGATTTCTCTAGGCATCAGATCCACAGGGCCTCCTACCTCCCTGAAATCCTCACTTTTATGCCCTACAACATCAAACTCAGGGTCCTTAAGCTGAGTCTATCTTCCTCCATCAAGCCTGTTTCTTATATAGTCATAAACATGTCATTTATTAATACATACTTGCTTTCCCCTTCCCTCCCAGATAAAATCACTTATGAATCTCCTAAATTGCTTTAATCTGTCCACTTTCTTCCATCCATCTTCATGTACTAATTTAAGCTATCATTTCTCACCTTAATTACTGCAAAGGCAACTTAACTGGTCTCCCTGTCCCAGAACTGCCTCTTTTCAGTTCATTCTCTATACTGGTATGAAAACGAATTTAAACACATACTCAATAATTTATTTTGTTTCAAATGCTTTAATGGCTTACAGGAGTTCCTAGGGGCAAGTCAATGAATTTCAAGGCGCTGCTTATTTTTCTAGTACCAGGCTTTTCAGATTGTTGCTTATGAAATTATATTAAAGAATCATTATATCAACTAAAAAAAAAGAGCAAAAAAGATACCAACACCACACTCAGAGCAATGTACAGATAATTATCATTTTATGAAACTTTTTGTTCAGTTATACATACCTGTACACTAGGCTGCAAATTAACATATATTTCCCACTGTCAACAAGTTTGAAAGCCACTGCTCTGCCTTCATCTCACCACACTCCAACACCCATGCTCTTATTCTTTCAGTTCCTTGAACATGTTCCTCTTGACCTCTAAGTTGTGGCACGTGCTGCTGCCTCTGCCTGAGAATCCCTTTCCAAATCCCCCAATTCCAAACATACACACTTCGCTATCTTCCAAGTTTCACGTTAAGAGTTATTTCCTCTGGAAAATCTACAATCTTCCTAGTCTGAGTTAGATGATAATCCACATTCTCCTTTTGATATTTTAACATTGTAAACTATCCCTGTAACAGCCCCTAACACCACAATTTCTTTAAGGTAGGGCCTACACCCTATTAATACAGTGCTTAAGACAGTGTCTCAAACATATCAATTATTAATTTAAAAAAATGAAAATTGAAAGAAAAAGAGCACATTGTTAGAATGTAGTAACTTTGTAAACATAGGGATTATCTAAAAATTAAAAGTTAGGGAAATTGGGAAGCAATCATATATGGCTGAAGGTGGTCAAAAAAAAAAAAAAAAAAGGTAGGATGAGCCAATCATTGAAAAATGGTCATATTGAGATAGAGAAGACGGAGATGCATTTTAGAGAGAATGGTAGAAGAATCGTAATAGAAAGCAAAAATAGAAGTATATTTACAAAAGCTACAATTACATCAGATTGGGAACATGGGCTCAGAGAGTTAAGTACACAGAGGGAAACGTAGTATATTGAAGCTATATTACCAAGATTCCTGTAAAACATGTTAGAACGCAACTGAAATATATTCAACTCAGACAGATGTAACCTGGCTTCCAATCCCAAATTGTGAGCTAGAGAATGAGGCAATCTACTTTTTGCTTTTGAAAGTACTGTGAGTGGTTCTACAAAGGACAGACTCAGTGGAGAGCAGGAGTGGGAGCCAAAAGACTAGTTAGGAGGCCAAGAACACTGAACAAAATAGTGGCTTGATCTATGGTAACTGCTGTGGAGACAAGTCGTTGGATTTGGGATATATTATAAAAAGAGCAGGCAGATTTGCTGAAATGAAAGAGAAATATTAAAGATAAATCCTGTTTGGGAGTTGCAAGTGAATAAATGGTAGTAACATTTACTAAAATGAAGGTTTGGGAAGGGGTAGAAATCCAGAATTCCATTCAGAATGATCTACAACACAACTAGCTTCAGGTGGAAATAATGAGCAATTTTTCCTGATTAAATTTTTCATCTGTTCGCATATTTTCCCAACCAATATCATATTTCCCAGTATCATGTTTCTTTAGATCCCCAGGGCAACAGCCATAATGTGAGCTAAATAAAACTTGATGAAGAGTAACTTTTCTAGTTACTGTGCACATCCTTTTATAGCAATCAGCCAATTATCCTTGCAATGTCAAGATGACTTAGATGTGCTCCCCTTCATTTAAAAAAAAAAGTCTTCTCAATGAACAATTTTGGGCTGACAAACATGTACGTATATATATTTTTTAAAGAGAAGGTGATAAGGTGTGAAGATAAATGGATAGTGCCAAAAAATCATTTTGATGAAAATGACACGGATAAAAGAAAAATAAAGAAATGGAATAATTTAAAAGCAGAAGCCTAAATGAGAACTTAATTACATACATTCAGTACCTAACATGAAAGGTGCTTTTAATGAAGTTACTAAAATGTTGTTCTCAGGCTTATAGTAAGAAAGCTTCTGTTTAATTAAAAAAAAAAAAAAAACACTAAACTAAAATAAGCCACTCAGCGAACTTTAATGCTTTCCTTACTACAGATCTTCAAGACACAAACCAAATGGGCCGGGCAATTACCAACGCGAAGAGACTAAATAATCTCTTGAAACGTCTCCTATTTCTAGGATCCCACGTTTCCTTCTCAAAGAGGAGCTGCTACTCATCAGAAACCTCCCCAGCCCAACATAAAAACAAAAAACCTGGGTTTGTGGCTATTTTTTAATGCTAAATATGAAAGCTAGGCTATTCTTCTGAGCGATCTACATTCAAAATAGTACTTGACAGCTTTTATTCCGCGCAAACTTGTATGTATCAAGAAGGCCGCTATTTTCGAACTCTTTGGGCAAAGAACTTAAATAAAAGTGACCAAAATTTTTCTAAGGGAAAGGGCGGCCAGAGATACTAACACAGTGATACCCCAATGAAGTTAACTTCCGATAGGACGTGAACTTAACATTTGTTTTGTTCACAGTTCTCACGTCCTTAAAGCAAAATATACATCCAGCCTGCACAAATCCTAACTGCTCCAGGTCAGATGAGCATGGCTAATGTTAAACTACATAATATCCGCTACCGGAAGTTGTAGCATAATACCTTTGCATACTTGATTTTCATTTCACACAGCACATGCATGAGTCAAGGAACAAAAAACGAAAAGGTTAGGGGCGGCGGAAGGGAAAAAGCCTGTCCTGCCTCATCCCTCTCCACTATCGAGTTTCAGATTTACCTCCTGCCTCTCCGCTTCCTTGTTCTTCTGACCCTGTTTCTTCGCATACCACAAGCCAATTTCGCGGCCTTTCAGGTGCCCGGGATGTCGGCCTCGGCCGCCTCGACCACCTCCTCCTCCGCCGCCGCCGCCGCCGCCTCCAGAGCCTCGGTTCCCTCCATGGCCCCCTCCATGGCCCCCTCCATAGCTTCCCCCATAGCCCCCGCCGGAGCTGCGGGGCCCGCCATCGCGGCCCCAGCTCTGATGGTAGTCATAGCTCATTGTCCCAGCAGACTACAACTCGTGAGAACCTGCAACCGCTAGAAATGGCGTCCGGGCCCGGAAGCTAGTGCACGTCCACTTCCGTTTTGCTTCCGGCGCCCAGCGCGAGAGGGAGGGCTATTGGAGCGTCACAAGTAGCTGTTTCCGGTGACGTCAGGGAGGACGACATCTGTTATCAGGAAGTTGGCTCAGGTGAAGTCTTCTTGGTGTGCCCGCAGTCCTCTATTTTTTGTACCTCTGGAGGGAGAGGGAGCAAAAGGCTCGCGGGTTTCCTTACCTACACCAAACATGTGAGGAAATAGGTTTTACTTTTTACTTTCTTATTATCCATGATTAAATCCGGAATTTGCGTCCAATTAGGCCGTGGATAGTAAACATCTGTTGACACAGTAAAAGAACCTGTGGATCGATGCGTTTTCTCTTAAAAGTCTTGAAAGAAATGAAATGAGTTCATATTTTTGGGTTTTTTGGTAGCTACATCTTGAAAACAGCCTGACACCAGTTTGAAATACATAAATATAAAATTGCCCCTGCCTTTCTTAAAGGATTGTCATTATTTACTGCCTTTATCCAATAGGGTGCAGGGGACACTAGGTTCACTAGGGGACATCCAGTTCATTTACATATTTTCACTGATTTAAAGGTGGTAGGGATACTCACTGAACACAAGTGTGGCACCATCTTTCATTTGCTTACCGTCTTGAGAAGATAAAGGCAAAAGAAATGGTTGTGCAGTGAGGTAAGAAAGGAAAACACTGTATGCTTTGAAGGGGTCCAGAATACACCTCTGTGGCATAAAAATTACTTTGAGCAGAGGCATTCAATTCCTGAAATCTTGGAACTTCCTAAAAGCAGAGCCTCCCAGAAGGATTCAAAAGAACTCAATTGTCATAAACACCTTCCCCTGGGAGAGGAACTGATAAGATGGACTTATCACTGGAGACTAGAAGTCAGCATTCCAATGTTAAGCAGGCTAAGCAGGCATTGCCACAAAACTGTTATATATCCCATCTATTTCGTAAGAGCCCATTTTTCCTTCCTAGAAGTATTTTCCCATGAGTGCCTTTCTCCTCCTCCTCTTCTCCTATTAAGATGGTGTATATGCCATCTGTTCTACCCATCTGTTGAAACACATTTTTGTATGAAGTCCCATGGGTATGTGATTAAATTTGTCTCTTTCCTTGTTAATCTGTCTTTTGTCATTTTAATTTGCAGGCCTCTAAGAAGTAAACCTAAGAGAGTAAAGGAAAAGATTTTTCTTCCCAACAGCCATAGATGTTACTGCAAAATAACTTAATTTTGGAGTCAGGTAAGTCCTTTTTAAAGCACTAGAGGTTAAGCAGTGACTTTTGAGATAAGTAGACTTTAGCCAGACTAATGAGGAAGGGGAGAGATTATTCCAGGTGGAGGAAACAATGTGTATGAGGGGAAGTGATAAAATGTCGGAGACTGAGAAAACTCTACACTGAAATTTAAAGACTGTTGGAGAAGACCAAAGAGGTAGAAAGGAGCATAAGCATGGAGGAACTTATATACCACATAGAGAACAACAGTAAACTTTATGTAGGAGACTGATTATTTTTGGCTGTTTTGAATAGAAAGAAATGGAGGAGGCAAAAGTGGATATAGAGAGGCTAGTTAACAGGCTGTGGTTTAGTGGAGGCAAGATGGAACATGGGAAGGACTGGGATCAAGAGTTATTTGGAGATAAATATGTCAGATTTGATGATTCACTTGATATGGATAATTAGAGGAAGTGGTCAGATAACCCTTGAGTTTACGATTTGAATGACTACCAAATAAGAAGGTACCATATCTTGAGATGAAGAACACTAGATGAGGAGGATTTTTATTGGACTTGAGGGAGGGTTGAGTTAATGTGTCTAAATAATACATGTGGAGTTTGAGGAGCCTATGAAACATCCAAATACAGATGTCTAGAAAGTGGTTGACTACATGAGTTAAAAGCACAGAGAGAGCAGACGAGACACATTTTGGTAGTCCTTGGCAAATATGATTAAAACTATTGAATAGTTCCAATAAATGTATTGAAATTCATTGGGCATACCTATATGACAAGTATGTGAATTGTTCAGTAGGTAAGATTGAGTAGGCATATTGGGGATGGTCGCGGCAAAATTTGAAGGAGGTAGTGTGGGTTGTTAGGTGAGAAAGTGTTATGAATTGAATGTGTCTCCTCAAAATTTATATGTTGAAGCTCTAACCCCCAGTGTAGCTGTATTTGGAGATGGTGCCTCTAAGGAAAGAAATTAAATGAGTTCATGGAATTGGGGCTCTAATCTGATGGGATTAGTGTCCTTATAAGAAAAGATACCAGAGAGCTTATCCTTTCCTTCCTCAGAAGAAAGGCATGTGTGGACAAAGAGGCTATGTAGAAGCCAGGAAGGGTGCTCTCACCAGAGAACAAATCTGCTGGCACCTTGATCTTGGGCTTCCCAGCCTCCAGAACTGTGAGAAATAAATTTCTGTTGTTTAAGCCAGAATAATGCCATAAATAAGTGGTACTTAATTATTTAAACATGGTATTTACTTATGAAACCAATAAAGTGTTTTTTTTTAAGTTTTTATTTATTTATTTTAAGAGTGAGAGAGAGAGAGCATGCATGGGGGGTGGGGGGGTGGGTGTCATGGAGAGAGAGGGAGAGAAAGAGAATCCCAAGCAGGCTCTGCACTGTCAGCACACAGCCCGATGTACAGCCCGATGTACAGCTCAAACTCATGAGCTGTGAGATCACAACCTGAGCTGAAGCCAAGAGTTAGAGGCTTAACTGACTGAGCTTCCCAGATGCCCCTAAAGTGGTTTAATACCACTGAAACCTGGGGTATTTGTTAAGGCAGCCTGAACAGAGAGTAAGTGGAAAAGAGAACTAATGTTTATTTGTTGCTTAGCATTTGCTGGGTATTGGGCCAGGCAATTCACATTTATGGTCTGCAGAATGTGACCCTCATAGATGTGCACATCCTAATCCCTAAAACCTGTGAATATGTTAAACTACATGGCCAAGGGAAATTAAGGTTGCTAATCAGCTGACCTTAAAATGGGGACATTATCCTAGGTTATCTGGATGAGCTCTGTGTAATGGAATGTAGGCAGCATCTAGAGCTGGAAAAGGAAATGGATTCTCCCTTAGAGCCTCCAGAAAGGAATACACCTTGCCAAACCCTAAATTTTAGCCCAGTGAGGATCTTATCAAAAGTCTGTGCCACAGAATTGTGCAGTAGTAAATTTGTGTTAAGACTCCAACTTTGTGGCAATTTGTTATGGCAGCAATAGGAAAGTAATATGATATTCCATATTTCATACAATCCTTATGAAAACCCCAGAGAGAGAGGTAGTGTGATCTCTATTTCCTGATAAATTCTATTATTTTCCTTCACCTCATGTTTGTTGATCCTAAGCAGAATCTTAGTTATAAATTTAAAATTACCGTGTTTTCCTGACTTCTTCAGCATGAAATAGTATAGTATTGCTTTAGGCTATTGCTTTAGACATACACTTTAGAATAAATGGGAAGAAAAGTATCAGTTGGTACTTTTTTTTTTTTTTTCCTGCTTTGGTTGGAACCAATAAGAATTCTTAGGTTACCTAATGCCAGAAAACAAAAGAAATGACTGACTCATTATAACTGCCATTGTTACTCTTGCTGATGCTCTGCTTTGTGCTGTGCTCTGGGAATGCTGAAAGATGTCTTTCTTAAATGTAATCTCCACTAATCATGGGCTGGGCACAGAATGCAAAACTATTGCATTCACACCCATGGCGTTTGGTATCTAACTCCCACAGGCATGGACCTCCCAGTCCAGTGACTCCCAAGATGGCAGCTAGGGTGGGCCACACAAGACCACACCATTATGGGAAACTACCAGTTTTCCCAATCTCAGGAAATCTCTCATTCTCCATTTTCTTTACCCCAACCCTGTGAAACAACTCTAGCATAATTTTTCATGGGTCTAATATTCATGAGGGACTGGATGGGAATTTTGTTTAGTGTTCCCCTTGGAAAATGGAATCCTTAATGGACTCTGACCTCTTCTTGGTGGTGGGGAGAGGGGACATGCTGATAAGAGTAGTCTTAGATCTGTAAAGATCTGACTGTTTTGGGGTGGAGGTAGGGAGACATGGAGAAAATGTTTCCTTCTTATATCAGGAAAAATACTGGAAAATTATCAAACAACTCAATAGAACATCTTGTCACATAAAATTTGGGGGCTCAAATTGGTAGACATTACCTATTTCCTTTTTAATTAGTATAGGTTACCTATGTTTTGGGGGAAAAACACCTAGATTAGATATAACTTGCTTCACAACTATAGTGTGATTGGATAACTTATTGTCCAATTCTGTGAGAGTTAAAGAGGACACTATTAATTGTTATGCCAGGAAAACAATTGTAAATTGGGACTATCCCATGCAAACCAGATGTTTTGTCATTGTAACTATGAATTACTGCCATTGTCTGCTAATTCTATCTGCTTCTCATAAAAAGAAAGAAAAAATGGATTTTAGTATTCATGTTAAACATCTTCTTGAATGTTTTGCATAACATATTTTCCCTTGAAAACTACATAATCTAATTCAATTAGTGGATTTTTCGCTGCCCAATGTAAGGAGACAATCTGGGAATTTAGGGAAAAATGTTTTGAATGAGTACTAAGAAAACAAATTTTAATACTTTTTTTCTCTATAAAAAATAATAGAAATACAAACTCTTAAACTTAAGCAAGTAGCTATGTATCTTCACTACTGTAACCAGCTGACCATGGATTTATCCAAACCCTAATATTTTTTGACCTTCACATTTTAAAGCTTCTGGGGATTGCATTTCTGCTAAGTGGTGGAGACTAAAATTTGCTCCTGAGGTATTTTTTTTCTTTTTTTCTGGAAAAATTACTCAGTGAGACTATGCTTATGTAAAGGTACAGATTGTCCTCTGTAATAAACTGTTTCAAAATAATGTGACTCCAGGAACCTAAATCATTCTATGTAATATTGCAGAAGATTGTCATTGCGGTCATTTTGTATTTGGGTTTTGATTGCCCAGTGCCAGCAAGTTCCTGCTCATTCTCAAGAACATGTGATTTTGTATTTGTGTATGTGTTCTTTGTGGATTTTGAAGTTGAAATCCCAAGACTGTAGGAAAGACATACAAATATGATTTTTTTTTTTTTTTGTATCTTGAGTTGGAGAAGAAATCACATGCACAAATTGATCTATGTTTGTAGCAGTATAGTCTGTTCTAGAATCAAGACCAGATAACTCAAACCCTGGAAGATGTGCCATTCTTGGATTGTGGTATGCATCTGCATCTTGTGACACCAGGGATGGGGCACTATTTACATTCTAATAGAGTGTGGTGTATTAGTGGTGTTAGTGCTTAGTGGGGTCATAGCATGTGTCAGAGACTGGATAGCTAGCTGTTTGCCAAATTTAGGTTTCTTCTTCCTCTGCACAGATAGGTCTATTTCTTAACCTCCTTTGATGTTAGGAATGTCTGTATACCCAGAGGTCTCCAGTGTAGCAGAAGCAGCAGTGATTGAGGTGCTGTTTTTCCAGGCCATCCCTGGAACAGTCCTTGCTGGATCCTCTCTGCCCTTTGCCCTTATGCCAGCTTAATATGGATGAGGATAATGATAATAAAAATGAAAGAGTGGAACTACAAGATGGAAAGAGCCTAGACCCCTGAACCATACCTTAGAAGAGAAAGTCTCAACTACTTTTAACTGCTTTTAAAAGCTTTTAACTGCTGCTGCTTTTCTTCAACTCTTTCAAGTCTCTCTTTTTTTTAATGTTTATCCATTTTTGAGAGAGAGAGCATGAGTGGGGGAGCAGCAGAGAGAGAGGGGGACAGAAGTTCCGAAACATGCTCCATGCTGACAGCAGTGAACCTGATGCGGGGCTCGAACTCACGAGCCGTGAGATCATGACCTGAGCTGAAGTTGGATGCTGAACTGACTGAGCCTCCTAGGCACCCCTGTCTTCCAGATCTTGTGCAAATTCCTCTTTCTAGCAGACACTAAATCTGAAACTTGCCAGCAAAAGAGACTGGAAAATGTAGTTTTCAGGCTTCTAGCCTCTGTGATATGTGGAGGACATTAGAAACACTGGGATATTCCAAGGTATTAACAGAAAATAGATGCCAGAGGTAATTTTTTACCTCAAATTACAGGCTCCATAGAAAAACATTTAAGAAATGTAAGTGGAGAATCTGGGTGGCTCAGTCAGTTGGGCGTCCAACTCTTGATTTTGGCTCAGGTCATGATCCTAGGGTCATGGTATCGAGCCCTGCA